AGGGGACCAAGAACACACCCAAAAAAAGATTTTGAGATTGGCACATAGGGGGCGCCACCGCCAAACCGTTTTCTCCATTGAAAATGAATTACGGAATCTTCAAAAATCACAAAATTTCAAACGGTAACTACGGATTCATACTTTCAGCTAGAAACTCCATTCAAACTGGAAAATATTCAGCAATTCCTTGACTTTTTACATATGATTCAACTTTTCAATCCCATTCAAACTTTCCAAAATATTCAGCGTTTTCTGAAACTTGGTTATAATGGAAGTCAATGAGAAAATCCTTCAAACTCACTCATCTTCACCCACACTTCACGAACTCATACATTCACGTAGAAACTCCATTCCAACTCTGAAATGTTGACATTGCCATCGACTTTCAGTGACTGATTCATATTTTCCATATCTCTTTTAGTTTTTCTACACCAGCTGTTTAAAAATCATGAAATTTTCAGCCCTTCTCAGAATTTATAATGGGTGTGTATTGCGTGGAATGTTGAGAGTTAGAGTGGGTGATGTCATCGCTAGAGTGCACAGCACCTCTGAAATCATCAAGAAATTTTCTCTTAAACTCGCTGGTGCGGCCACATCGTTCACTCTACATACACAAATTGTACACCAAATTGTAGGAAAAGCCGTTCCGGTCGCAGAGGTGCGACCGCTGAAGAAAATGGATTTAGGGTTTTGGCTGCAGGTGGTCTAAAAGGACAACAAGTCCAACCAACTGCCCCATTCACTCCCATGTTAAGTGAGAGCCCAAATTTCTGGAAGAAAGCAGACCATTCCACTTATGTCCATCATGGCTCTGGCCTCATTTTTCACACCACAGAAATGAAATTTACACCTTTGTGATCCGCATCCTGTCCTCTCGCTCACGGTGTGCTTTTTGTAGCTGTAGCACTTACGGTTTTTCATTAAACAGTTGGAGTTTGAGAGGAACTTTTGGCTCAGTTTCTGCCTTTTCTTGGTGTATTTAAATTTGACTGTGCCATTGCCAACTGGTGATTGGCTGAATCAACTCCAGCCGTTCGGCCAATCGTCTGTGTGTCACAGCACAGTCAAATTTGAATATTTCAGCAACCTGACTTCTTTGCAGTTAAAGCCTCATCATACAGAGGTAATTACATATGTGTCAGTCTGCCTGTCTGGGTCTGTCTGTCTCTGTCTTTCTGTGTCCATCTTGGACATTTTAGACTGCAGTCTTTTTTAGCTGTTAAGTTAAGCTGTTTTTTCTATCTGTAAGTGGACATACACACAGACAGACAAACAGACTCACACATACACAAACGCGCGACAGCACGTGAACATACACACATTCAGGCATGCACACACACACAGACACACAGTGATACATTTACTGCTATTAATAATTAGCGTATTGCTATGGGGATACTAGTTGGCAGCGAGCATCAGGCACACTCAAAATTTCATGTGAAATTTTCTAGTTCATTCATTCACTCATTCATTCATTCTTGAAAATGAAAATTTCATTCATGAAAATTTCAAATGCTCTGCAGAGATCAGATGAAGGCCACAGGATTTGTTTAAAGCCAATTTCCCAATTGCATATTTGAACCTAGCAACAGCTTTCTTTTTAATTTCACTCTCAGGTCCATGCCTTGATTTACCAGCGATAACCCAATTTTTAAAAGCTTCTCTGGCTTGCTGGTGGAGTTCATCCACATACTCATTCCAGCCTGGCCTGAAGCTGTACTTCTTTGCTTTTCTCTGAATGAGTGGTTTACTAGCCTCATTCAGACCCTGCACAATTCTGTCATATAGTACACATAGCTCTTCTTTGTGATTTGGCATACCACAGTTGAAATTATCACACATTATAGCATCATATGGAATTTCAATGTTACCTATGGTCTTCTCAGTCAAGTCATGATAATGTAGCAGGTCGTTCTCTGAGAGTTTAGCCCACTCAATTTTCCCACCATGATTAACCTGATTATCATCCGTGGTCATTGTAGGTAGGTTTTCTACATTGAGCATAATGGAGACAGGCATGTGGTCCATTGTTGCAAACCCATACAAAATCTCAACTTTATCCACACATTCATGGGCATCAGCTGTGCTTACACAATGATCTAGCCAGGATGTTGTATTCCAAGCCTCACTGACATATGTATAGCTATCTGTTGGCAAATGGATCTTACTTGTTAACAAGAGCTTATTATCATGACAAAATTCAACTAGGTATCGGCCAAACACAGACTTCCTATCAGAGATATCTGCATTCAAATCACCCATTACATAAATACGGGTACATTCATTTTCCTCAATAAAAGAGCCAATAAAAGCAAGCTTTTGAAGATATTCGTCCTCGTTACTGGAACATTCATAAGGTGTGTAAACATTCAAAATGATAAGAACATTACCATTATAAGAAACTTTTATTGCAACACACCAGTCTACTCTCAATCTAATCACACTGATCAGAGGGTCATATTTTTTATGCCACATAATGGCCACACCTCCAGGTATTCTGCCTTGAACCAACCCCAAGCTCAAATCTGTGGTTGACTCCCCCACCCCATGGAAGTTACTATGAACAGAGTTAAGCTTGTCCAGGTCCTGTTTAGCAAGAAAAGTTTCTTGTAGACAAAGAATGTCAGTTTCCTCAAGGAGTTTGTCAACAACAAGTCGCCGTGCCTTATCCGCTGCATTGTGTCCTAGACGCAGGCCGCGTGTGTTATATGACACAATTCTCATGAGAAGTAGACAAATCTTATGCATGTCACCCAAGTAAGCAGCGATGGACGAAATGATTACTGCATGTCATTTACCCAAGCTTTCTCTTTACATCATGTTTCTCTCCACTCTCCTTTCTGCTTACATGTATAACTCCTTGTATGTTCACACAGTTGATCCTGGGTTCCAACTCCAATGTAGTTACTCAGTCTTGTTAATCATTAATGATATGGTGCAGATTTTAAGTTTAATACTATTATGGCCAGGACAGTCTGACAGACTGACAAACAGACATTGCAGGTCTCTCTCACTCTGTGAGTTTTGCTAATATTTGATGACTTCCCATCCTACAACATAAGTGAAACAAACATGATGTCAGGACATTTTTTACCCTTGAAGAGGGCGGCACATGTAGGCCTATTTTAGATTTAGTAAAATGCCACAGATTAGCCTATGTTTTTGGAACTTCACCTGGTTGAACAATATGGTAAATAGGCCTACTATCATTTTGATTTCATTTGATTTGGAAACATAAAACATTACATAACATTTTTATAGACTAGTGGTTGTTCAGGTGGGGTTAAGAAAGATAAACACAAAAAGCAATGTTGTAGGAATTGAGCAGAGAGAAAACAATGACATAGAGTACTGGGCCTATCCTATTTGTACCTAGCTAATGCATCTGGGTCTCGTTTCAATTTGGTTTTTCCGTAATTTGGTTTTGAAAGAGAAAACGGGAAAACGGAAGCACTTCCGTTATTTCGTTTTGTGTCTCAAAACGGAATAACGGGAAAACGGCCGTATTTCCGTAAATCCGTTTTATTTTGAAAACAAAATATCAAACTATCAAAAGGTACACGGACCCTCACTACCACATAATACCACTTCATGCAAATGAAGCTATTATGTCATGTTTGAATAAAAAAGCCTGCATGTGCACATGTTGCTATAGTTATGTGACTTTTGAGGTCACGTGAATATATTTAGAATGGTTTGATAATTTGCCACTTAGACCATGGGGAGGAGACCAGCTGAGTAAACTGATCTGTGGATGAGAAACTTGCAACTGAAGAAGTTACCCCCACCCCCCGGCCTAGACACTGGGGAAGGTAGGGAATCTTGAGGTCACCGGATGAGGGAACTTCTGGGTTGAAGATCCAGATTAAGACAGTCTGTATCTTGATGGAGGTGGTGCAGGGGTGGAGGTGGGCTGGGAGTTTTGCTGAAATGACAGCTGGATGACAGCAGAGAGAGAAATTTGACAGCTAATGACGGATTGGTAGAGAACAGGGAGAGGCTGGCAGACTGTGACTTGTTGAAATATGTGAAGAAGGGTGGAGCAAGAGGATAGTGGGAAAACAGAGAAGTGGCTTTGAGGTATACTTACGTAAAGAGATGATCTTCCTGTCTGAACTTTCACTTACCTTCATTTAGGTAAAATCATAATAGTACACTCACATCTGTGTCTTTAGCCTTACAGAATATTTTACAGCCTCTCCCATACACATCCATTATTATCTCCAGATTTCTCCCAAAATTATCATGATCATGGAACTGTGATTGCTTAAACATTAAAATACCTATTGAAACTTTGAAATACGCATCAATAGGTAAAATTTCAATTTATGTTTTGATGTTCAAATGGAGTCTCTATGTGAAAGTATACCACAAATGTTATTAGCATGTAGGCTAGCTGAAAACCCGATTTCAAGAAATGTGTGACTTGGAAAGAGTATGTATTGCTTGGAGCTTTCAGGGACAGAGTGGGGAACGTCTTGCACTACGGCAGATGAGGGTCACGGTGGGTGGTGAGGGTCACGGTGGCTGGTTTGGGGCGGAACAGGTTAGAACCCGCAGATTGCCGCTCGCGGCTATATTCTTATTTTTTCACGCATACATTGTAGAGCCTCACTTTGAAGTTAAAGAGACAGTTTATGATTTTGTTGTAGCATTCAGTGGCACCTGTTTCCTCCCTTCCTGATGTATTGACAGCTGGGTTGAGTTTGACACCAGTGAACTGAGAGAAATTTTTGGGATTGGTGGTGATACTGTACACTGTACAGTAACTAAAATCGTTTGTGCTGCTCTCCATTGCTAATTATTATCTTACCCTGGTCACTAACATACACCCATTTCCCAAAGCATTTTATATTATCTATTTGGAATGCCACTATATGAGTTCTGTCCTTTTTTCTCATCACAATAAAATGATCAAATCTCTGTGCCAAGTCAGCCACAGTCCTGGTTGTGTACATCCTGTAAGCCTGATCACAGTGTCATTATTCCTATGTGTGTAGATGCTGGCTTCATGGCCTGGAGCCAGCCGGTCTGACTCGCCTCACTGCTCTGCAGTGTTTACCAACTCTTTTTCACCTTTGACCAGCTCCTCATCAGGTACACATCCTTACATAAAGCTGCTTTGATGCTACTGACGTGTACTACGTGTATTACATTCTCAAAGAACTTAACCATAAAAGCTTGTAAAATGTTGTGTTATTGTTATACTGCCCTGTTGACATGACTGTAACAAGCTGTGAGTGTGAGGAAGGCTACTTAGGGTCAGGTTTCTTTCAACCATAAAATGTAAATCTGTTGTGACTCAAAAATATTTCCCTCTTTTTCCAAAATCAAATCAAATCAGATCAAATGCCTTTATTGTCAGTGTACAGCTGTACAATGAAAGTCAAGTGCGACTCCCTTGTGGTAAAAAAAACAAAAAAAAGACAAAAAGACAAGCCTCCCAGAATGCAGCAGTGCAAACAGTTTCCTGGGTGAGAACAGTCCTGGATTATGTTTTCTGCATGGCGCAGGCATTTGGCGCTGTAAATGTCAGACAGTGAGGGAAGCTGTGACCTTAAGATGTCCTGTGCTGACTTCCTAACTCTATCCAGAGCTTTTTTGTCAGCCACGGTGCAGCTTTTAAACCACACCAGGGGCAGGTTCCTCCCTCTTCCTCCTGAAATCACCAACTCCTTTGTTTTAGAGGAATTGAGTTTTTGGACATCATCTCTGTAAGCAGACTCGTCGTTGTTATGAGTCAGTCCTGCCACAGTAGTGTCATCAGCAAACTTGATAATGATGTTGCTGTCGTAGATTTGCGTACAGTCATGGGTGTATAGGGTATATAGCAGAGGACTCAGCACACAGCCCTGGGGGGCCCAAGTGCTGAGGGTCAGGACAGAGGAGTGATGGGACCCCAGCCTGCCTGACTGACTGTGGACAGTCTGTTAAAAAGTCCCTGATCAATCTGCAAGTGTGGTGGCTGACACCCAGACTGTGGAGCTTGGACACCATTCTGCCAGGAAGGATGGTGTTGAATGCAGAACTGAAATCTACAAACAGCATTCTTGCATATGAGCCAGGTTGTTGCAGATGTGTTAACACAGCGTGGAGGGCTGTGTTGATGGCACCTCCTGTCGACCTATTGGTTCTGTATGCAAACTGGTGCTGGTCCAACCTAGGAGGGAGTGAGGAGTTATTGTACTTTAACACCAGCCTTTCAAAGCACTTCATGACAGTGGAGGTAAGAGCCACAGGTCTGTAGTCATTGAGGCAGCTGACAGATGGTTTCTTAGGGATGGGCACAATGGTGGCAGATTTGAAGCATTGGGGGACAGTGCAAGTAGACAGAGAGAGGTTGAAGATGGAAGTAAATACCTCAGTCAGCTGGTCGGAGCAGTCTCTCAATACTCTCCCTGGAATACTGTCAGGACCAGCAGCCTTCCTGGGGTTCACACCACGGAACACTCTCCTGACCTCCTCCGTACTCACAGTGAGTGCCATGTTGTTTGTGGGTGATGGTGGTGTGGACCCAGTCTCTGCCTCAGTCACCTCAAAACGTGCAAAGAAATGGTTGAGCTCCTCGGCCAGGTTACTGCTGGTGCTGGTGGCTGGATCTTTGGTGCCCTTGAAGTTTGTGAGGTGTTGGACGCCCTGCCGGACACGCTGGGGGTCCCCTTCGCTGAAGCGTCCCTCGATTTTCCTCCTGTAGGCTGCTTTTGACTCCTTGATGCCTCTTTTTAGGCTGGATCTGGCAATTCTGTATAATTCCATGTATCCAGACCTGAAGGCTGTGTCCCGGTCCCTCAGCAGCTGCTTGACATCCCTGGTCATCCACGGTTTGTTGTTTTGATAACATTTGATCTGTTTGTCGACAGTGACATTATCAGTGCAGGTTTGGATGTAAAACAAAACAGTGGATGTATAGTCCGCTAGATCCTCTCAAAGCAGTCCTGCAGTTGTGGGATTGCATCCTCAGGCCAAATCTTTGTATATCTCACTGTGGTCATAGTTTGCTTGATGAGAGGTCTGTATGCCGGGGTGTTTCAGTGAGACATTTTCCAACTGGCAGAAGAAAATCCTTATCCAATGGTTTGTTAGGGACAATTTATTTCCCTTCTCTTTGGCCACCTATTCAGGAAGAAATGGGGTTTATCAGATGAAGCACAGAGCTAGAGTGGGGATGCGGTTAGCCTAGCATAAAGACTTGGGGTATGGAAAAACAGTAAGACTGGCTCTGTTCAAAGTTCAGCAAGTGAGCTTTAGAGATGTTGAAAGGTGTATTTTGGAAATTTGAACAGAGCCATGCTAGCTGTTTCCCCCCTGCTTCCAGTCTTTATGCTAAGCTAGGCAAACTAATCTTTAAAAGCACAACTAGAACTTTGAAATACAGGACTGGAAACTGTAACTTCTAAATTATTGACAGTTAAAAAAAAACATTATCTAACACTACAGAGAAGCTAAATCTAAATACTTATCTTTTATGCCATTTTATAGCCTTGGCTGGAGGCATTATGTTTTCTGGTTGGCTGTCAGTCCCATCCTTGTGAACACAATATCTCAAGAACCCCTCAAGGGAATTTCTTCAAATTTGGCACAAAGGTCCACTTGGACTCAACAATGAACTGATTAGATTTTGGTGGTTACTTACTGCTTACTGCCCTTTATGCGGGCTGGCATGTAGGGCAGCAACAAAGGATCTCCACTCCTGTCTGTTCTGGGCCAGCGTCTTTACGGAACCCCAGGTGTGATGCAGGGCCTTCAGCTCTCCTTCTACCGTCCTGCGCCAGGTGTTCTTGGGTCAGCCTCTTTTACGTTTACCATCTAGTGTCCAGTGAAGGGCAGTTCGGGTGTTGTCCTGCTCTCTACGGATGACATGTCCAATCCATCGCCTTCTCATTAAGGATGGTAGCCATATTTTCCTGCTTACACAGGCTGAGAAGATGCTGGTTGGATATGGTTTGGGGCCAGGATATTCTCAGTATCTTCCGTAAGCTTTTGGTGTGAAAGGCTGACAGTTTGTGGAGATCATTTTCTGTTGTTCTCCAACATTCTGAGCTGTATAGCAGGGTGGACAGGACGCAGCTCTGGTACAGTCTTAGCTTGATGTTGGTGCTGTACTGGTGGTTAAGGTTAAGGTCACTGTGGCCTTGTCTGTCTCATGTTTCGTGAATGCGATATCTCAAGAATACCTAAAGGGAACGTACAAATGTTCATTTGGACTCAACCATGAATTGACTGGCTTTCGATGGTCAAAGGTCAAGGTTAGTGCAACCTTGCATCCGTCTCATTCTCGTGAACGCAATATATAAAGGTGTTCCCTTTAAGGACTTTCTTTTAATGTGACACAAATGTCCACTTGGACTGAAAAATAAAGTGATTAGAATTTTGTGGTCCAACGTCAAAGGTCAAGGTCAGTGTGACCTCACAAAATATGTTTTTGGCCATAATTCCTTTGCTAATTATGACAAAACTTCACACAAATGTCTAATAGGATAAAATAATGAATTGCTGACATTTTATATCCCAAAGGTCAAAGGTCAACTTCACTGTGACATCTTAATATTCTGCATAAAACACTTTTCTGGCCATTATTCAATTTCATATCTCAGGAACAGATACTTATTTGGTGACACTCATCTTGGGTGTCCACCTTGAAACTATGCTGATTGTATAGATCTTCTGTGCTGTTGGGGGGACAACGGGTGTGAAGCATCCATGTTTTCATGGATGTAAACTGTGAGAGAAACTTGACTGGTGCACAGAGGCATAGAACCAATTTGCTGGTTAGAACTTCAATCATATGTCATATGTCGTACCATAAATGTTTTCAAAAATCACTAATTGAGCCTTCGATAACTGCAATTAAGACCAGAATTAGAAAGTTAAATAAATCAATTGCTGAGGTGCAGATGCATTAATGGGATGGTTATCTGGTAGTGAAAGAAACCAACAGACAGTGACTCCGCTCTGTTTCCATTGACAGGTTGGAGGAATATCAGAAAGCTACTCCAGCTCTTCAGAAACACATGACTCCCTTGGCTACCACCAAGATCATGACTCTTCAGGGCTGTGGCGGTCTTACAGGTAACAGGCCAGGCACAGCAGGTCCTTTTCTAGTTTTAAATATTGACATTCATAGTATAATAATCTAAATCACTACAAAAACCTTGTACCTCACTACAAATGTAGAGAATATGATAAAAAAAAAGTCAAAATGCTAACATTAATAAACATTTTCCCAATAAATGCACAAGTTTAAAAAAAGATGCTTCCTAAACTGGCAGTGACTGTGCTATGCTTCCGCAACACTGTGGTCCTGATAACAGCGGTAACTGCCATATGAGCACAGTGCAAAGTTGTGGCAATGAGGTAATCCATGGTACACGCTCATAGGGACTCACATGCACTAATATGCATGTACGGCTGGACCAAATACCGGGGATGGGGGTAAGTCACACATGTGCAAGTCATAAGCAGGTCTCAAGTCATAACTTGATAACTGGTTGGACAAAACCAACATTATGAAGGTGTCACATAAGGCTCTGGGTAAGTGTAACACTATCTCTCTCTATTTACAGAATTTTTACAGACCGAATAATCCATCAATTATTGGAGAAAATAATCAGCATATTAACCCATAATGAAAACAATCATTAGTTAGTAGTTCAAAATGAGCTCCACCTCAACTAACTACAACAGTAAAATCCTGCCTTTATATTAATGCATAAGTCAGAATCGTCTAATGAGATCATACATAGTAGCAGACCAGTGGTGGCTGCTGGTCTTTCAAACAGGGGAAGCTCACTTTAAGTTTACATCATTAAATTTGTCATATTGTAGCGAGGCAGTAACTTAAAAAAGGAACATTTAATTGAAGCCGTTTTTCAACCACACTCATGCCATAGAACCACATCAAAACACACCTCAAAGATTTTCAGATGGCTTTACAAATGGTGAAAATGAGCCATATTGCTAATGGAATTAAGGAACTCTGGACGGCACTCTATCAGAAGACTTCACTCGCAAATATCCGCATGGGACTGAGCTTGAAATGCGACAATGCCGGTGTGTTCAGCCTTTTAGACAATTCCTCCAATCATCATGCATACACCGAGCGTCCTCTCCCACCTAACGCTCCATTAGGTCTCAGGAAAGCTGAGCCTCCCTGGAAGTGACGATTTTGTCACTTGACCATCTCGCTTTGCTGCATGGAAAAAACCTGCTCAGCGCTGTCTCATAGGAATGCTTGGAGACTCTGTGTCCACCATGCTGACACAAGAATGTATGACAGGGAGGTCATGTTTGAAAACTGGTGATAAACAGCTGACGTTTGAACATCATAGTCATGATGTTAAACGCATCCTAGCGCATGTTTAGTGCAATGTAAATTCTTATTTTAATGTAAATTCAATAGTGCATATTTGACCATTTCTTCAGTGAAATTTTAGGGGATGTTCAGTCTCCCTTGTTGTCTCAGAGCAATCGCCCCTGTAGCAGACTACAACAGTCACAGGGGATATTTTTACAGTACTTTTACTTATAATATTTTAAGTACATTTTCCTGATTATACTTATATACTCTTACTTAACCAAATTTTAAATGCAGGAATTGGACTTGTAACAGAGTATTTTTACAGGGTGGTATTAGTTACTTTCACTAGAGTAAAGGATGTAAGTACTTTCCCTCCTGCTCAAGCCCTCTGGTCAGTGTGAAAGACTCCACTAACATAACATACCTGATGCTGTGAGAGAGGAGGTGCGATAATAACGCATTGTTAAAATCCCCAAACTCAAGCCAAGCAGGAACAGGAGTCACATGGTGCACGGATGGGCATGACAAGCACAGATACACAGTGAACTTATGTTGGGACAGCAGGCAGGAACAGTTTTTATGCACTGTGGCGGCATCAAAACCTCGTACAAAAAGAGAACCTGAGCATATAAAGTTACCAGCACATGTATCAGCTCTCACAGTAGTGACTGTGTGTATAACAGTCCGGAGCCCGGATGTTTTTTCTATCCCGGCATCGAGCGCAGCTGGTGAAAGAGACTTTTCCTCTGCTGGATTTGTAATTCAAGAATAGAGAACCCAGCTTAATGTGAGTGACTGTAGCCTGTGTGTGTTTATTAATTGGTGCCGGTGTGTGCGCCATTAACTCAGACATAATGATTAGAAACAGGTCTGGTACTTAGCTTTATGGGTATGGGTGGGTGCAGGTTTTCAAAAATGTACCCGTGCAAGAAAAAAACAATTCTTAGATGCATCACGATGTGGACATGGATTATTCAGCATGAATTTGCAGATGTCAATAATTGCTTATCTTATTATTAGTTAATGACGTGATGTTGATGGAACAAAAGAGGCGGAAGTCAACATCAAGGGCAGTGCAGTACCAATCTAGTAATTTATCTTAACAAAAGGCAGCGGTGGCAAGTATGCTTTAATTTAATGTCTAAATATTTCCATTTGGAAGATAAACATGAAGTATACTGTGAATACTTTGTATGCCGTCATCCAGAAACCATTCCCCTCTTTATACAGAGATGGCACTGTAGAGCAATTACAAAGTCCCCTTTTTACACCTCCTTTGCATTTTTACACAGAGCCAAATGACAGCAGCATCATTCTGTTACAGTGTGTGATGTTAGACAGCATACTACCATCGCAGAAGCAAAAGACCCGTGATGGGCATGATGTTTAACACAATAACGTCTGCCTCTAGTATGACATTTAACAAACACTCAGCAGTGCTTTCTAAATAATAATAATAATAACAACAACCACAAGAAAATTTACTTTTTAATCAATTTCAGTTGCCATATACACAGCAGTTTGGGGCTATGTACCTTACTCACGGGCACCTCGGCACTGCCCAGGCTGCAAACTGGCAATTCTCCAGCTACCACTACACATATTTGGTCCAGATGGGGTCTTGAGACGGTGACCCTCCGGTTCACAACATAAGTCCCCATGGAGTGAGCTACTGCCGTCCTAAAACAATGGCATTACATGGAAATATAATTATTTACTGTCTCTGTTATATGGTGGCTGATCTTGTCCTCTGCTTGGAGGTTAAGGAGTTCCTGGACCTCAGTGTTTTCACAATTTGCTGACATTTTCGGTCGCTGTTCTTTTTGAGTTAGCTGCTAACTTTATCAGCTACTGTTTAAATCTCCCATGGTGGGTTGCACATCTAACACATCATCAAAACGTCAACCCGTGCCCCCCATAATCCTGTCCTGCCGGCTGTCCCATTTATACAGAGGTTGTTTCAGTGCTGTTCCTGCCTCCAATGCTGGCTTTAAGGCAAGACAACTCTGTCCACCCATTCTGCGATTGTACAGAAAGGCGAGCCAGAATAACGGCATTAAGTTCCCATTTTGAAGAGGCAGTGTAAAGCTAAATGTTAATGGAGTGGAGCGGAGCAACAATTAACAGTAACCTTGAAAAACAAGACCAGCTGACAGTTAGCTTGAGCAATTGCAACTGGATACAATCCAAGTGGTAGCAAGTAGTCACAAAGTGAGAAAAAATAAACCATATATAAAAATCAAAATTTTGATGCATCAAGATGGATCAATAATCGTATTATGACCACATCATAGCTCTCTGAATCACTGACAGGAAGGATGTATATGTGTGGGTGCTGAGTTCAGTTAACAACCTTTCTCCAGAATCACAGAGTCTGCCTTTTTTATAGGCTGTTTATTATTATGCTAAACACATAATGGACTGATACTATCTCTGTAATAGTTGCATAGACTCCATCACTCTGACTTTGAGTTGACAGCTATGCAGATGACACAGGAATGTTCATTATTCAAGCAAGTAATGATGACTAATGAAAAACATCACTGAAGCTAAAATTCCCTGACTATTGGTATGATGTTCAGGTCCCAGTCCAGCTCTCATAAAGAATGGGAAGAGGTCCAAGAGCGTGTTCGGGGACTCCTTACCACACCTAAAGCTGTACGCCGACTTGTGTATGTAAGTAATACATGTCATTACTCTCTGTGTTAGATATAATAGCATGAGTATGTGTTTCAGTCTAGTGTTTGACTTGTTGCCCCCCAGAGTTGGGTATAACACGTTACAAAGTAATGCGTTAGAGTACTTTGATTACTTTTTGCAGTAATGAGTAACCTAACGCGTTAGTTTGCTGTTTGAGTAATCAAATACTTAAGTACATTTTCAAACAAGACATCAGTTACTTCCGTTACTTTTAGAACGCTGGTCCTTCAGCTCTGAAACAGCAACGGCTGTCGTTTGGTTCTAATAACGGAGATAACGTTAAACCTATCAGTCTGAAAGAAGCCACGGAGCTTGTGGCTCGCTACGTGGTTGGAGAAATCTGCCGTTGTCTACGGTGGAGTCTAAATAGGTGGAGTAGGACTCACTGACAGACATATTTCAGACTCGCATTATGCCTCATACACGCTACACGCTGGTACTCACCAATTATCCCCGGTCGTCTTTCACGGTGTGTGTGATGTCATCGGTGTGTTCATGTGCCAGCCGACATGTTGTTGTAGTCACCTAAAACTGAGGTTATAAGGGGCTTTTAATTTGAAACAAGTGTTGAGTTTGAAATGACGGTGCGATATGTTAACTATACAAAGACAACGGAACGGATAAAAAGTAAATATATAAACACACAGAGGGATTAATAAATAACGGACCGTCTATAATGTAGTTTGTTTCAAATGAAGCTGGGAGCCTCTGCAGTTATGGTGAGTAAAAGCCCTGCCGCTATTTGTTAATGTTATTACTTTATGTCCGACCGTGAGGATATACCATTGTTTGCTAGCTTGATGCTAATGACAGTAACGTTAACTCAGCAGGTTGACAAAGTGCCTCTGCTGTTTCACACCATCATTTCCTCTTTTTACTCTGTGTGGTAACATCCCTAGAGGAAATATTAAAAACGCTGGGGTGTTGTTGTCATACAGTTGTCTACAGCAGCAGATCGTTCTGTGTTTCTACTGGTCAAAGTGACGGCTGTGATGGGAGAATTGGATCTCAGTGAAGGGCAAGTGGTCCATAACTTTAATTTTGGAGACAGAAAAATGTAGGCTTAGTGCCCTGTGGTCCATTGCCCAACAGGAAATGTAAAATACTCAAAAGTACTTTAAAAGTGCTTGAGTTACTTTCTCAGGGAGTAACGTTGGAAGTACTTTTAAAGTAATTGAGTTACTTTACTCAGGGAGTAACGCAGTAAAGTAACTGGTTACTTTTTAAAAAAAGTAGCACAGTAACTTTGATTACTTTGATTACTTTTAAAGTAACCCTTACCCAACACTGGTTGCCACTTAATACAGTCCACTGTATGTCTATTAGTTCAGTTGTTGCAATATGCAGTTGCAGATAGTTGATTAAAAGGAATGTCAACTTCTTTAGCCCTTACTGGTCACTCCTTGTTTCAGGGGGCTGTTGCCATTTGTAGTTCCACTATTTTAATAACAGTTATCTTTAATACTTACTCTTCGTTAAAAAAATGAATTCATCTTAATTTTAATTCCCAAAGAAATTTATCTCAACAGCAGCAGAAACCGGGGACACAAAACACCTTAAGTTCTTTCTTTAGTATGACACTTAAGGCTTAATTTCTCCTTAGCTTTGTGATATGCACAGAATCCCTTAATAGGTATCCTAAGTTAAAGTGACACTTACCTTTCTGGAAATTTTACGCTTTTCTTTGTTTAGGTTAAAATGCTATTAATAAGCTGATGGCACACTAAAATATAAGTAAATTCCATCAGAGATCCAAACTCATAATTATACCATTCTCATATGATTCTAAGAAAACTCCGAATGCAATGATTGGCCGAGCGTCCTGTCTGTCTTCCCCATATGGAGGCCTCCAACTGACGTAACCGCTCGCGTAACATAAAATGCTGCTGTTGTCCCTGACTTTACATGAGAAGAGGGAAAGATTGCTTGTTGCTAGTCTAATTTATACAATGAAAAATGCCAAAGGCTTGTGCTAATAAGGTTAGCATGTCGTATTTGCTTGGAAAACGTGTTTAGTAAAAGACAGTCGTTTTGTCAGTGAACCTTGTGAGTTGTAATGGAGCCAAATTATGTGCCGTTACCTTTGTTAAATGTTGCTGTTGTCCCTGGTTTTATATGAGAATAGGGAAAGATCGTTAGCCGCTAGGCTAATTTATACAATGTTAAATGCCATAGGGTTGTGCTAATAATGTTATCATGTTGTATTTGTGGGGAAAATGTGTCCAGATAAAGACAAGTGTTTGTCTGTGAATGAGTTATAGTGAAGCTGATTTGTGTATTTGTGTTTGAAATTGTCTCTATTAAGCCATGTTTAATGTGTGTTTTGAATCAACTAAACTTTACAGCACTTAACAGAAACCTCCACCGGAGAGCAAGTGTAACGTTACCTTGCAAACGCCTATGTCTATCATAGACGTAATAAGCACGTAATGGAAGAGGGGGGAGTAGGCCTTTGGAGGGAGGTGGAGTTGCAGGAGGAGGGGTTTGGGACTTTGGTGTTGTGGATGTTCAAATTTTGTTGTGTTGTTTGTATTGTGTTGTGTAAAGTGCAAGAAAGGTAAGAGTTGCTTTAAGGAAAAACAATAACTAATTTACTGCATTGAAAAAGATTTTACAGCGGTTAAAGTTTCCATGGAGATTGTTTGTTTGGTTGAACTCACGCTTGTGATGCATGTTACCGTCTCACAAAGTTGGCTTATAGTTAGATAGTAACAAAATGGTGGAAGAAATGAAGACAAGAAAACCATGTTGGCCAGAGGAGGAAAAGATACACTTCTGGAGGAATACAGTCATAGAAAGCACAAACTTAAATTTGATCCCCAGTAAACATTATGCTTGTAGGAAGAAATTGCAATGAAAATAATAATAATATTATAGATTTCAGTCAAATCTATTTAAGCAATATCACACGAGAGGGAGTGATGCCTGCGGCCTCGTGTCTGCAACCGAATCACAGCCGTGACGATATACAGTACAACGTCACAACCTTGAGTGTGATATTGCTTTTATACAACAGTTCAACAACAGCTTAAACAGCAATGCTGAGTAAGGAAATGTCAACAAAAGGTGATGGAATAAATTATTTAAGTATGTTATGTAGCCCCGCGAAAAAAAAAAAAGTTCCCCCAGTCTGTTGCCAGGCAACGCAGCACACATGCCAGGAACTCACTAAGCTAGCCTACTTTGTATTTACATGGATCTGCAACTGTGTAACTTCATCCAGTTTGGCTGATGAAACGTTGGCAAACCTGGATGTTGGCACGGCCGGATTCAGCTTCCACTCTCCCTCATCCTCATCAGTACCTTATCAGATGATCATTGATAATTCCTAACCGTGTTCGCTTAATTTTTTCTCCTCTCCAGTTTGTTGAAGTCGGCTTATGTTACACAAACACACCTGGAGGTCTGCACAGAAGAGTCCTGGCTTTAGTAACGCTATAGTGCCCATAGGCGTCAATGTAGCGAGTGTGACAGTTGGTTAATTAACGGTTGTATTTATATTTATAACACCTTGTAACAGTGATTTTACTGTTACAAGTCCCAGTGATGTTATACTCTATATCAGCACTCACGGAATGCCTGTCATCCAATCACATTACTCGGTCGGAACTAACTGTTGTAAAGTATAGCAGTATATCATATTATATATAAAGCACACTATCGGGGGTCTCCTGGTCGCAGAACACTTGGGGTGCATTTCTTTTTTTAATTTATCACCATAAACTTTGTTGCTAAGGTCTTTTGTACAACGGGTTAGGGATTCCTTAAGTATAAGACCAAGACAAGGAGAAAACCATGAATACTTAAGTGGACATGTTAAGGAGAAGACTTGGATGTTTTGTGCAACAAATTTTATTTTGAGGAAACCTCAACTAGGACTTTAAAGAAGATCCTAACTTAAGGTGTTTTGTGCAACCAGCCTCAGGCCTTTTTTTGAAACAGGCTTAATTAGAGAGATTCCTTTATTTTTTCCTTTATTTATTTCCCGTTTTGAAAATATATCGTATTATATTTCAGTAAGAGGCCTCCATGTTTCCTGATGCACTTTAATTTCAATTTGATTTTACTGCAAACTCAAAACCTTCTCCATGTTTACCTGTTTTGATGAAACAAATATGGTATAATGTCCATTTCCATAGCACTAATTCCATCAATACAGCAACATTATGCCATTCTCACCACTCTGCTTAAAGCACTCTCTTTTCTCAAACACAAGCCACTTTTACACTGCCAGATTTTCGGCGAATGTTGGGCCGTTTTGCCAGCAAGCTGCGAGCATTTAGATACACAGAGCCGGATTGGCGAATTGATCCAAGGCGGAACCCTTTTAGTTTAAAGAGACCGAGGCCGGCCTTCCGCAACGGGAGGGGCTGTTGATGACTTGTGGGAGGAGCTGTTGATGATGCTGCACATGCGACCCGCTGGCGGCGGTTAAACAGGAAACGGCTGATAGCAGGAATTAGCAAGCAGCTAACGGGCCGACTTGCAAGGACTGACCAGCCACGGCTTCCCTCCCACGTCACTGTTTACGTTACACGCTGAGCTACACATTTTGTTACTTGCTCACGCCCCCTCTTGCCCAGAAATAGGCACATTCTGTATAAACAAAAGTAGGTAGGCGGCATTTTGCTACACTCCCCGATTTTGTTTTTATACTGCCAATGCTGAAAAAAGACTGATTGGGCTTTCCTGCAAATTTGCACAACTCCTATCTAAAAAGGGCTACAGTCCATACATTTACTTGCTCAGTTAAGTTAGGCCATTCAATTGGACGACTGTTCTTATCCCATTTACACAGAGCACCTCAGCCAGTTTGGGTGTGATTGACTGTATACATGCAAATACAAGCAGTAACGTGACTCCCAATCCCATTATCTGGCTGTGTTAGTCTGACTTTGAGAAATTTGATTTAGTACAATTTCAGTTGGACTAACACAATAAGTCAATTTTTCACATTGTCATGTAAATGCATTGAGTGACAAAAGAGTCTGACATGACTCTGTGCTGATGAAATTAGCGCTGTTGAATCTACCATGTGAACTATTATAGTGCATGCAATTTTACCCCACCCATTTTTTTCGTGGCCTTTATTTGCTTGTGCTGGCTTTTATTGAAGACTAATAATTTGAATACTGGATTGTATTATAAAAATGTAATGCAGAGAAGATTTTGCCAAATAGGCAAGTTTCCTCTTTGTAGTGTATTTTTGGAGGCAAGCTCAGCCCAGGGAGTTTTAGCACAGGTTTGCTACTTGAATAGAATAAAAAGAACTTTATTTATCCCCAAAGGGAAATTCAGCTGTCCAGCAGCTCATAAAAGACAAAAAACAACCACACTTCCACTCATCAGCAACAACACAGTGGTACCAAAATAGACACAAAATGAAATAAGTTAAAATAAGTGCACAAATAGAAATTAAATTATAAATATAAATTATAAAATTGTCCATTCCACAGTCCAGCCAGTTGTGGCTAATGTGATGTGAGTGTGTGTGTGACTGCATTCAGGGGGTGTAAAACAGTAACCGCAATGCAGAAGTAGCTCTAAGAATGTACTGAAGATTACAAAGGATACCACAATGTAAGAGAATGTGTCTGTTATTGTGTTTTAGGGGGCCACACACTCAGAGGTAAGCGAGGTATTATCCAGGAGGTCCATCTCTCCAGGTCCACCCTGATGACCAGGCCAGGCTCTGGAATGGTGAAGTGAACCTGCTCTGTGCCTCCATGAGTTTCATCTTTTACTTGCTGCCCCTCTGAAGCATCCTCATGACATCATAATCACAACATCCCTAGCTTAATTCTGGTTAGCGACCTGTGTGTCTATACTGTGAACTATCCAGTAAAGGTAAAAACAAAAGCTGCTTCTAATTTTCTTTGTGGCTTTCTGGATGTAAACAAGTTGTAACTCTAGAGGGCAGAAACAAGACTTTGTCTGTCTTTTTCTTCTCCTCTAGAGAAAGGAACCACCTTGCCAATGAAGTCCTCAGATGTCACGACTCTTCTGATGTTCTCGTGTGTGTGTGTGTGTGTGTGTGTGTGTGTGTGTGTGCGCAGATAGGTATTTCATTGCAGTGGTTTGATAAATGCCCACAAATGCTCCTATATTAATAAATGACACAGTAATGTGTTTTATGTTAAAATAAACCTTTTAGAATTGAAACCATTGTTATGTCTGAGTTTGAACACAGCCAGGAGGTGGTGGTATGAGTCTAACGTCACAAGTCCCTATTCTGTGAATCTATCAAGCTGACATTGTCGAGTCCTCGGGTATATCACCAGGGGGCCATTAAAACAGTGTCTATGTAGCTCTGTGTGAACTACTGCCATATATCAGAGAAATAGCTGCTTGCTATGACTGAGGCATTAAACACCGGCTATATCAGGAACATTGAGATCTAGTGCAGGAACGGCTGTTTAAACAGAAATGTATTTTGGTGTGATAAGCAGTCAAACTGTAGGCCTCAGTGGCAGTGCACATTTAACAATGCTTCGCAATGCCCCTTTTGAGTTATTCAGCAGATGATTTGCAGTTATTCAGCAAGCTACCTATACATATGAAGTCATTTCTACCCCAGTATCCAAAGGCAAAAGTGTTTATACCTGTTTAATATTTCGAAATTACTTCCACATCTCCACACTCCTGAAAAATTTCTGGGTTTTTTCAATTATCAGACTGTGTCTTTTGGCAAATTTTGCTTGAAATGGTCAGACCCACAACACAGTACATACATTATTTAATGTACACATTTGGCAAATCACCTGAAATGCAAAAGTAAACAAAACAGCTTTATCAGGTGCACTGAGATAATCAAGATTTTAAGACCTGAGAAAAACATCAAACATCAACACTGTTGTGTGGTAGATCTTCACAAAGAACCTCGAGTTGGGGTTGTTTTATCAAACCAATGTCTCCAAAGTCAAGAATAAACTGTTATGCTTAATAGATAAGCCAACTCAGACCAGAAGTCCTTAAAGTGGAGGGTTGCCATAATCAATGAAAACCTGGAAAAGTCATGGAATTTAACAATCTCATTTCCCAAGCCTGGAAAAGTCATGAAATTAGTAAGAGTCATCAAAATGACATCATTTTATAAGTTAGAGGCAAAACACGACTCTCCACCACAGTCTTAAAATGTCATCTTGTTGTGTTATTGGGAGCCAGAATAGAAGGAGTCATGGCTCAAAATTTTACATTTCATTGCATATCAGCTGCCACTACCTGTCAACAAAAACTATGGTTAAATGCAGTAAGATGAAAGGAATGAACAGAGGCTATCATCAAAAATGCTTGCATGTGCAGTGCATACTTCATATCAGGTTAGGGAAAAAGTAACTGTTGTAGGGATGAGTAATGTTATATGTGTATTAAGGGTTATCATGTCCATCTAATCAGAAATTGGGGAGGTATGAAGAGGAATATTGGTTTCTCTGTAACGCTAACTTTTTGGCACATCAGCTAATGTTAGCTTCGATAGCTAAACAAAACAGAGGTAACAGTTCAAGTGTAGTCGTACTCCTTTGTAAGATTAACATAGTAATCAACCACAAAGCTGGACATCCCACCTTCAGCATTCCTGCCAAATCATCCATGCACTGAGTGAGAGCATACAGGTCGGACAATCTGGTCCCGTTGGTCAGTGTTTACTTACTCAAGTAACACTTACTGTCTGGGAGAGTGAGTAACCTGACATGGTGCATTCATATATTCAGTCTGACGCTCTACACTAAAATGAGAGCCCTTTTGTTTGAAGAAATTATGTTACGGCTGAGTAGTGATCTGGACCAACTGAGGCGGAGGCAAACACTGGTTACGTAGTATACCAGCTTTTAATGAGTCAAACAGGTGAAAAAGCACAGGTGGAGGCGGCAGGAGGCAGGCTGGCTTGGAAGTGGACACAGTCCAGATTTGGAGCTGTATCCAGCTGAACGCGGGAGAAAGAACGTAGGAACACAGAGGCTCTGGCAGACACACTTAAAAACATGAAAAAAGAAACACTGGTAGTAGCTACGAAAAATACTCAACAAGAAACTCTTCCATTAACACTGGAGGAAAATTCACAAAGGCCGTATAATCTACCAAAAAGGACAGAATTATCTGGCACAGGAGTGGAGTCATGACCTGGCTTATGTGGAGGGTTGATTGTGGCGATTGCAGCCAGGTGTGTCTCATCTGCCGAATCACTGGAAGAAAATGAGTGGAAAGCCAGCCACGCCTCCTGCCACACACACACACACACACACACACACACACACTGCAGGGAGAGACAAAAAATAGAACAGGGAGGGGAAGGAGAGAGCCAGAGGAAAAAATAGAAAAACAAAATAAGTCCAATACAAAAACCCAGACCACAACAAATGGAGCGTTATATTTCTATATGAATTAATGAACACACACATTCACCTTGCTTGGTGCTCTGCTGCTCCGTCTCCATAGACAGAGTGCCAAGAGTGTGCTCTGCCACTCAGAGAGTGTAGTGCTCTGGATAACAGAAAGGTACATTCGGACAGCGCTCCAAATTTTCGAGTTGTGTCCAGTTTGTGCCAGAGTGCACTCTGGCACTCAGAATGAGTATTTCTTAACGCACCACTTGTTTCATCTTCCTCCATTGCCGAAAACAAGCCGACAGAGCTTGCTAGCTAGTGCTAGCTAATGTCTGTGGAGAATTGTTTTGCCTCCAGCTAAGCCCCGTCCATCAAAAAAATCATAACAGCAAATGTCTTAACTGTTAATGTTAACTGGTTTGCTCTGAAACTAGAGTGTGGCAGTTCAAAGGTACGGAGCATTCCTTTTGTTGAACAAATTAACCACTCTGGGAGCTCTTCTACTCCGTGTCCATGAACCGCCTCAGGCAGCATTCGGAGTGCACTCTGAATGCTCTGAGTAACCCAACAGTTATAACTAGGGATGAGTGAGTACATCATTATTTGTATGTGTGTCTGTATGTGATTAACCAATTAAATTGTCTGTATCTTTACTCAGAATGGGTGGAGTTTTGACAGGGTAGGTTGGGTTTAAATTTTGTCATAACCCGACTCAAAGGAAATGACAAAAATGGAGAGACACAGCGCAAACTCAAATACAAGTATATTTATTTAAATAAAGCGATGTAAATAAACGCAATACAGGTATGGGGTGTGTTAGTCAGTGTGATCAGTAGTGTACATGTGGATGTGTGGAGCATGCGATGTGTGGTGTTGTGGAGAAAACCTAAAAGGAAAGGAAAAGAAAAGCCAAAGAAAAGTATGGGCGCCTGTGAGGAGCTGAGAGAGAGAGAGAGACATCAGCCAGCAATGCATTTATAGCCTATCCGTCAACGCACCAGGCCCAGGTGCTCGTGATCAGGATAATGAATGGATCAGCTGCATACCTTGGGAGAAAGACAACACAACAACATGTCACCAATTATGTAATCACAGACAGCATGACAACCCACTGAACCAACCCACATAGCCAAGCAGGGGCCGTCACAATTTGAAGTGAGTTGACTCTCATGTAAGTTGTAATTTTAAGAGTGAATCTGATATAAATTGAACATAAGTTGCTATATTTTTATTGGAAAACTAACATCAAGTAAGAGATAAACAGTTACCCAAATGAGGATTTTCCCTCATCACAAGTACAGATATTGACACATTTTACTTGTATAATACTCGTATTGGTATAAGTACATAGTCTGTACCGTATATTCGTTTAATCCAAGTATTCGACTCAACCTATTAACAACAAAACCAGAGTGTGCTTGGAGTGGCAATGTATGTACACACCCCCTTTATTCTATTTGTAGCCCACATTTTAAGTTAGTCCTATTTGTTTATTTGTATGGAGAGAGTTCATAATAAATGTTTTTAAACAATATTAGTTAAAATCTCAATTTCAGTTGTAGTAAGCATTGTCTTAGCAAAAAGCATGCATTAAAAGTTTGCTATTGATATATTGTCATGAAAGGCTTACTGGCTTTATTAATTAAAAGTAAACTGATGGGTTGTGCTGACATGCTTAAAAAGCCAACCTGGTCTCACTCCAAAGTTGTTGAAAACTAGCGCTTGGTCAGTGAGTTCTAGCGTCATACACCGACAAAAAAGCTGTCCTTCCATGTTGGCATGATACATAGCTGGTCTCCGTTGATGAATAATTAGACAACATTTAAATGCTGCTTACATGTAGCCTACATGTAAATTGATCAATTAATACTCAATACATATTCATGTAGCCTATATGATGATTACAACACTTGAAATTGGGTCACTATGCATAATGAGTACTTTTAACGTAGGCCTACATTTTGCTGACAATACCCATATACTTTTACTAAAGTCAGATTTGGTATGCAGCACTTTTACTTGTGACTGAGTTTTTGTTCTTTGTTGTGATATTACTACTTTTTCTGGATACTTTGTCCACAACTGGACAAACATATCAAACAATAGAGACATGCAAGCATAGCACGTCTCATCCTCATCCTCCGCCTCATTCTCCGCTGTCTTTCTCGGATCTGCCTCCTCAGCTGGGCAGCCTCCTCCTCAGCCTGCAGGTACAGCAATCCTGCTGCAAAAACTGCACCAAGACGCCTTCTCCGATCCATGTCGATTATTGGTTTTTGATTTCCAACTCGCCAATGCTCACGATCACAATAACCTCCAACTCTCCACAAACCCCCCCCGCATCTGACTTTTGATTATAATCAGAAGCCAGGTGCGGGGAAAAGGTTTTAAAAGACATTTTATGAAAATATTTTGGCTATTTATATGTTTTTGTGTGTCAGTTATATATGTTGAAACATTAAAGTATACAACACAGTACAACAGCCAAGGCGAGCGGAGGTGGTGACGTCATCNGGGGAAAAGGTTTTAAAAGACATTTTATGAAAATATTTTGGCTATTTATATATATATGTGTGTTTATATTGTTTTATTCTAAATGCATGTATACAACACAGTACAACAGCCAAGGCGAGCGGAGGTGGTGACGTCATCAAGTTCGCTGCTGTTCCAAAAGCAGAAATGACTGTACTCCCATCCTCCCGTTTTTGGGAAGTTTGGACTCTTCGTGGACTTGCCAAGTCTGAACTTGCCAAGTCCACAAGTCCGAACTGC